GGGGGTATCGATGGGAATTACAGCCGGTCAGTTCTACAAACCACCAGCTGCCCCTGGTTCTAGCCCTTCGATCTGTCGATATGGCAAAGAATTTACAGGTTTTAATCAGCTGTGCATTGTCGCTGTATAGAGTATTTCCGATTTCTGGGGAGGAAGGTAGGTAGGTGCTACGCAGATCGCATAGTGCAGGGCAGTTAAAGAGGTGGTGTGGTACTGTTTCATCCTGGCAGTCACACAACGGGCAGTCGGGTGGGGTATCCTTGCGGATCCTATTCAGGTAGGAATTCAGTGGGATGTGTTGTGTTCGCAGGGCGTGTAAAGTTATTGCCATCATCCTAAAGCGTGTTCATCTGTCGTGCTTTTTATTTTTTTTTTAAATATCCATTTGTCTTGAATGCAACTCGAGATATTTGCGAATGAAGGAGGTGGGGGTCAACCGGTTTCAGAAGAAAATTTAGAGAGAAAACGGCCGCCAAAGATGAGTTATTTTTTCTAGTTTGAGAGTTTTGTGGAAACTGAAAATTTACATTTTTTGTGCCTTTAGTCAAGCTTTTTCAATTTAAAAAAAATCCACACTGAAATGTGTTTTTAATGGTCATGAAAGGTGTTTAGCCAAAAAGTGAAAATTTGATAAAAACCCACAAACCTGCGAAAAAATGCCAGTCTACACACTTTGATTATGTTGACGAGTGCCTGCCTGATTTCACCAGCCACACTGCCTCACAATATGTGTCACGACGCGGTGGAATCAGGCGCTCGTCAATTTTTGGGCATGTGGAGTTTTTGTGATATTCTGAAAGTTTGTCTTTTTCTCTTTCTCTCGATGAAAAAAACATTTATCTTGTACTAAGTTTGTACAGAAGTCAAGATATTTGCAACTGAGGGAGGCGGGGTCGCCAGGTTTCGGAGGTAAAATTAGAGAAAAAATGGCAGCCAAAGTTTAGTTACTTGGAAATTTAAGTTTTACATGTTTGAAACTTTAATCCTTTATCGGTCAAATTCACACAAAAATGTGTTTTTAAATGAACAGAAAAGAAGTTGAGCCAAGAAAAACAAAATTCGATGAAAATTGCCAATCGGCGGAAATATGACGTTTTCTTTGATTTCATTATTTTGACGAGCGCCTGATTTCATCACAATGCCTCACAATAATATTTATTGTTGCAGGGATGGAAGCTGCTTGATCGACCAGCTCGCATGTGGGGGCAAAGGTTTTGGATGTATCGAGTCCAAATGGGTCTGCGACGGTGAGAAAGATTGTGATAACGGTTGGGACGAGAACAACTGCACTGCTGGCTGTACCGGCCCCAACAAGTTCAGCTGTGACGACGGTGTCTGTATTCCTGTCGACTACGTGTGTGACCTGTTGAATGACTGCGCAGATTTCTCCGACGAGGTGACTGTGTCACTGTGTCACTGTGTCACTGTGTGGCTTCTCCATCAGTCCTCTGTGGTTTCTTCGCTTTTTTTCTTTCCAATGCTTTATCTATCTATCTATCTATCTATCTATCTATCTATCTATCTATCTATCTATCTATCGGTCTATCTATCTATCTATCTATCTATCTATCTATCTATCTATCTATTTATCTGTCTATCTTTGTGAGTCTGATAGACTGTTGTCCATCGTTGACCCTGCACTTCCCAGCAAGGATTTTGCTACACTCCGATACTTACACTACCACAGTTATTTATGTACATGACCATTAAACTTTCTATGAGGAATAACTCTTCAATTATTTAATCCATTTGTTTTGCGATTATAACTGTCGATAATGTACAATCAATAGACAGCTTGAAAGAACAATTGAGGCGACAGAGATGTGGTGCATAAGACGCATGCTGCGTATCCCATGTACAGACGTAAAAACAAATGAAGAAGTCTTAGTTGAAGCAAATTGCAGACGACAGCTTACGACGAATATACGAAAGCAACAGGCAAATTTCATTGAACACACAATGCGGAAAGAAGCATTAGAGAATATTGTAACAACACGCAAGTTTGATGGAAAGAGAGGCAGAGGCAGTCAGAGAGAAAAGATACTGGACAAGTTAACAACATGGCTGAGAACAGCAAGAACGACAGACACCATTGCTGCAACGCAGGACAGAGGGAAGTGGAGGTTCATGATCGCCCACGCCAGTCGGCAAAGCACCGGATGATAATGATACCATTTCCTAAATCTGCTCTATTATTTATATACATTGGAATTCCTGACGTTGCTAAAATGTTCCAAAGTCCTTTAATTTAGTTATAATTCGCTTTTCATATTACGTCCCAACAGAAAAATTAAACACTGTCCCAAAAGTATTTAATTTTGTTATAATTCACTTTTCATATTATTTCGCAAACAGAAAAAAATAATGTCCCAAAGATATTTTAACTGTATAATTAATTATTCGCTTTTCCTTTTATGTTCCAACTTTAAAAAATTTTCCAAAGATATTTCAGTCTAGTTATAATTCGCTTTTCATATTATGTCCCAACTGAAAAAAAATGTCCAAAAGATATTTCAATTTTGTTATAATAATTCGCTTTTCATTTGACGTCACAAATTTAAAAAATGTCTCAAAAAATTATTTTTTTTAAAATAATAATTCGCTATTCGAATTATATCCCTGCTGAAAATACTGTCCCAAAAGTATTTAGTTTTGTTATAATTCACTTTTCATATTACATCCCAATAAAAAAAAAATGCCCCAAAGGTAATTTGTGAGGCAGCGTGGTGGAATCAGGCTCTCGTCAAAATAATCAAAGTGAAGAAACTTGCATTTTTCCACAGGTTTGTGAATTTTTTTCAAATTTTTGTTTTTTTGCTCAACACCTTTCATGCTCATTAAAGAACTCATTTCTGTATGGATTTTTCTGAAAAACGTTGATTAAAGGCACAAAAAATGTAAATTTTCAGTTACTACAGACTCTTAAGCTTAGGAAATAACTAATCTTTGGCGGCCGTTTTCTCACTAATCTTACCTCTGAAAACAGGTGACCCCAACCCCCTTCATTGGCCAATATCTCGACTTGTATTCAAGATAAATTGATATTTTTTTCACCCAAATAAAGACAAATGAACAAGCTTTAAGATGATACCAATAACTCTACATGCCCAAAAATTGACGAGAGCCTGATTCCCTCACGCTACCTCACATTTAACCTTATAATAATTCGCTATTCGTATTTTATCCCAACAGAAAAACTGTACTGATCTGAGCATCGGTAAAGATGGCCATTTCTTGTGCAGAGACCACAGTGAGAACATCCCCGCGGAATGGAGGTGTGACCACTTGGAGAATTGCCCGGACGGGTCGGATGAGATTGGCTGTAGTAATGGTAACGGTACATGTCCCACGACAGACGACTTCCTGTGCGCCAATTCAGTGTGTGTCTCCTCCCTCTTCTACTGTGACGGGATCGACGACTGCGAAGATGAGAGCGACGAGCGAGACTGCACCTGCACCAAAGGAGAGTTCCCCTGCAGGTCAGGCGGTTGTATCCCCGGAAAATATCGCTGTGACGGCTCCTTTGACTGCAGAGATAACTCTGACGAGCAAAACTGCCCGGATATCCACCCGGGGGCGTGCGGTGATAAGTTGACACTGGCCGACTGTGCTCACATGAACGAAACCATGTACCCCATCTGTCTGGAGGAGGCCGATGGCTACAAGTATTGTAGAGAGTTTTGTGGTCTCTGCGACCAGAGCTAGTGGTGAGGGGATGGAGAGAGAGAGAGAGAGAGAGAGAGAGAGAGAGAGAGAGAGAGAGAGAGAGGGAGAGAGAGACAGAGAGAGAGAGAGAGAGAGAAAGAGAGAGAGTGAGAGAGACAGAGAGAGACAGAGAGAGAGAGAGAGAGAGAGAGAGAAAGAGAGAGAGAGACAGAGACAGAGAGAGACAGAGAGAGAGAGAGAGTGAGAGAACATGGCTGTACTCTATATTGCGGTCAAGGCTGGTGATGACTTAAAGTTTAAATTATATTTTGGCTTTACTTTTTGTGTCTCTAAAGAAAAATGCAAAAGGCTGAAAGGAAAATAAAAGCAACTCTGTTAATGATCCTAAGTTCTAGATTCTGTTTTGTTTTGCGAAACAAAAACATCGGTTATGGTCTTAACTTAACCACACTTTATATTGGTACGACGTTTTTGCACTCAAGTCATGTATGTCAAAACATACAGAGTTCTTGTGTCCATTATATGTGAGGCATTGTGATGAAATCAGGCGCTCGTCAAAATAATGAAATCAAAGAAAACGTCATATTTCCGCCGATTGGCAATTTTCATCGAATTTTGTTTTTCTTGGCTCAACTTCTTTTTTATGTTATATCGTTTTAAACATAGACAAAAATGCGAACTTCCTAACCGACACCGGCAAAGTCGCTTCAGGGCTCATTAACCCCGTGACCCCGAGCCGGGGAGCTCCGCGTGTGTTGAGTCACGCTAACTAAAAGGTAACAGAATCGGACGAAAAGTGACGCCGTGGTCACATCGCGGTGGAATCATGCGCTCGTCGCATTTTGGACATGTGAAGTTATAGGTATCATTTTAAAGCTTGGTCATCAATTGTCTTGCTTTTGGTGGAAAAAAATACTCACGTATCATGAATAGAAGTTGGGATATTTGCGATTGAAGGAGGTAGGGGTCGTCTGGTTTCAGAGGAATAATTAGCGAAAAAATGCCCGCCAAAGTTTGGTGACTTCCAAAGCTCGACAGTCCTTAGAAACTGCTCTCTCTCTCTCTCTCTCTCTCTCTCTCTCTCTCTCTCTCTCTCTCTCTCTCTCTCTCTCTCTCTCTTTCTCTCTCTCTCTCTCTCTCTCTCTTTCTCTCTCTCTCTCTCTCTCTCTCTCTCTCTCTCTCTTTATATATATATATATTTTTTAATGGATCTTAAAAGTGTTGAGAAAAAAAACAATAACATACATTTGAATTTGATGAAAATTACCAAATAGACAAAAAAATTGCAGTTTTCTTCGATTTGATTATTTTGACGAACGCCTGATTTCACCACGACACCTCACATTTTTAAAGCCTGTCCGTGGGAGGGTGTTCTCAGTTGATCCCAACAGAAGGGACAAGGATTTCTTCGCCAGGAGACCGACCTGCTCGTTTCCTCGGATCTCTACATAGCTGGAGTTGTGAAACAAACACGTAGAGCTTTCCTGGTTTAGCACAAGAGTGTATCCTCAACTTTTTTTTTTTTTTTTGGGGGGGGGGGAGGTCAACACATTCTATGTCCATTTAAAACACATTGCCTCGCGAATTTTATTGAAATAGGTTGATTAAATGCACAAAATATGTACATTTTAGTTTTCAAGGACTCTTAAGTTATTGAAATTACCTAACTTTGGCGGCCATTTTCCAGCTAATTGTGCCCTGGAACCATGCGACCACCCCACCCCCGTTCCCGTCCTACCTCCTTCAATCGCAAATATCACGACTACTATTCAAGATAGGTAAATATTAATTTCATCAAAATCAAGGCAAATAAACAAGCTTTCAGATGATTCCAATAACTCCGAATGCCTAAAAATTGACGAGTGCCTGAATCCACCGAATCGTGACACATATTATAACCATTCTAGCTGTTACGAGTGCGAAACTGGTGAGTGAAATAAAAAATAGATAGCAAATCCCCGCTCATCAGCAAGCTCTATGCGCTTCACAATCTATACTATTACCCCAGCAGACCTGAGAGCATTCTGATACAAACTCAACTTCCTGGGAAGTATACAGAGCAAGCAGCCATTTATAGGCGCTAAAATACTGACAAGATCTTTCGCTGTCTATGGCCGGGTACCCATTTCCACCTGGGTGAAGTGAGGAAAATTCAAGTAAAGTGTCTTTCCCAAGGACGCAACGTTCGGGCCCGCGGTTCGAACCCCCGACCCCGCAACCTCACGATTACGAGTCCAGTGGCCTAACCACTAGGCCACCAAAAAGTAGACAAGACAAGGAATCGAAAAGAGCTGGAGAAACGATTCATTATAATAGATCTACATGGATTTTTTTCACGGAGTCCAATAGCATGCCATTAGCGGTGGCCTGAGCAGGAAAAATGGAGCCCTCTGAAAGGAGCGTCCTCTGCTGAGTGTTGTTTGTGGATAGGGTGGCGTCTACGGTCGAGTCTATTTATAGCTCGCTGTCAAGATTTTCTTTAGGAAGGTCTACGTTCTCTAACCTAACGTTAGAGCACGTATACAAGCTGTCTACGTTCTCTAATGTTCAGTACTTCCAATTTTCCGCCATGTTTTAGTTTCCTCCAGACCTTATCTGCCGATCCGATGCCCGTCGCCTCATTGATACCCCCCCCCCCCACCCCCCGACTTTCTCACTTTCTTCGTTGTAAAAAAAACAACTACATTTTGGTCGATGTTGCGCTGCCTTTCCTGAAACAGAGCTGTAAGTATTAAGCTTAATCTACCTTTCCCTGTTGGAAGTTCTGATGGCCGAGTGGACAGCGCGTCTGCGTTTGAAGTCATACAATCATTTACGAGGGTGGGATCGAATCTCGTTCGCGGAAGTTGTTGGCTTTTTTTCTACTCCTCCTCCTGACTGGGCAACAATTTTTTCCTATAATTATAATTTGTTGCTTTGTAGTTTTTTTTATGTAGTGATAAAGCATGCACATTCTGGTTTTGTCCCCAAGAGGAGATTTACCTGCAAAGTATACTTTTCCTTTTACCAATTTAGTTCAATAGTGGCTTTCCTTGGTCTGTGAGTCTAATAATAATTTATGTTATTATTTTAGGCTCAGAGAGGCCAAATTTTAGTTCTTCAATTGCAAATTTTCTTCAGCTTACGGGGGCCTCTTGTTCCTCCTGCCAATTATTATTCGCCCTGGGTAGGGGTCCGGGGGCTAATTGTTGGTCAGTCGGGAGGAGGGGAGAGAAGAAAAACCCCTTAAATGACCGGGATTTGATGCCACGCTTGGAAGCACTGAACATTAGAGAACGTAAACATTACCTTTCTCTATGTCTGTGTATTATTTAAAGCTAGCTGTGAAGATTTTCTCGGCATTGGTGTATTGTTGGAAGGTTATCTCTGCATTGGTGTATTGTTTGAAGATTTTCTCCGTGTCAGTGTATTGTTTGAAGATTTTCTCTGTGTCAGTGCATTGTTTGAAGATTTTTGTCTGTAATTTTCTCTGTGTCAGTGTATGGTTTGGAGATTTTCAATGTGATTTTCTCTGAGTTGGAGTATTGTTTGAAGATTTTCTCAGTGCTAGTGTTTTGTTTGAAGATTTTCTCTGTGTCAGTGTATTTCTCAAAGATTTTCTCTGCGTTGGTGCATTGTTTGATACGTTTGTTGCTGGCACTTCGGAACGTTTTCGTGTCTGTGCATGATATATTGAGTGTGGACCGGTTGTTGTTTTTTTTCCCTTGGTGAAGTGCCACTGAAGAAGGTCGTGAAAAACAAACTAATTTGTATTTTTTCCCCCTGAAAATTGTGTTTTTCAAGGTCCTCAAGCACTGAGAGTCGGACATTTTTTTTTCGTTTTTTGTTTGTTCTTTTTTTTTTTTTTCAAGAAACCACAACGATCGCCTTTTAGTTCTTTTTTTTTTAAAGTTTGCGTAGACAACTCTTTTAGGCGATTGGTGGCTTTTATAATGGAGTCTGCGTGCCAAACTTGCTCGATCAAGTTAAAAAATTATTGAAGAGCACATGGAGAAAACGACGGTAGTCACAAACTGGAAATTGTGAGGGTGCCAATTTAAAAAGCTTGTGAACTCATAACCTCATATCTGTTTGACTGGTGGTTTATTGTTAAGTGTTGTTGAATGGGAAATCTAACAAGAATAATCAACCAACAGAAAGATAGAGTTACGAGTCAACAAGCGTTCAAAATTGGTATTCTCGCGATTTTCAGTTTGTGACTACCGTCATTTTCCCCCTGTAGTCTTCCAGTTATCATCCATGGCCACATCCAGGTACCTGCACATGTCCCATTAATAATTCAACTTCCAAAATCTGTTATCGGTTTAAGACACACTCGGTACAGCTGACGTGAAAATCCTTTTGTTTGTGCGCTATAAATAAGTATACTGGGATACACAATAACCAATGTGGGTCCAAAAACAGAAAAATAACATCCCTGCTGTATGATTTCATTGACAATTTTCTGAACTCTTGAGATGAAATTGGTTGGACAGACCAAAATACCCGCAACGTTTAGGCGGAAATTGAGAAAACAAAAGGTGTCACGACACAGTGGAATCAGGCGCTCGTCAATTTTGTTGGCATAAGGAGTTATTGGTATCATCTGAAAGCTTATTCATTTTGTTGGCCATGCTTTCTATGAAAAAACATCCATCGATCATGAATAGAAGTTGAAATATTAGTGTTTGAAAGAGGTGCGAGTAGCATGGTTTCAGAGGTAAAATTATCGAGAAAATGGCCACCAACGTTTTGTAACTTTAGCTTGGGGGCCTTGAAAACTGAAAATCTATATATATAAGTTGTGCCATTCACCAACGTTTTTCAGCAAAATTACACAAAAATCAAAAATGTTTTTATACGGATATAAAAAGTGCTGAGCCAAAAAAGACAAAAATCTGATAAAAAAATTGCCAAACTGGTGGGAAAATGTCTGTTTCTTCGATTTCATTATTTTGAGTTTAGTTTTAGTAAATGTTTTACGGCGCTCGCAACTGCATAAGGTCATATGAGCGCCAGAAGATTAGAGGAGTTACAAGATAGTAACAAACACAAAAAGA